GCACCCTTTTTTGCTTTTGTTACACTTGTGATTGAAGAGAGTTTCCTTTTGTTTTGATTTGGATTTGACTTTCCTCCTTGAAAGATTATGTTCAGGTGAATAAAGCGAGTGCTCATGAGAAAAATATGGATGTTGGTGCCAACATTTTTGTTGGAAATCTTGATTCAGAGGTATTGTTTAGTAGTTCCTTTCTTTCGATCCATTGCTTATAAAGCTCATATTTTAGGTAGATGAAAAGCTGCTTTACGATACCTTCAGTGCATTCGGTGTTATTCTACAAGTGAGTTCTTCTGTGAAAAAAAAGTTACATCTGGTGATCATCTGACCATTGATGAATCATCTGAAATGAAAATTCAGGTTCCTAAAATTATGCGTGATCCGGAAACAGGCAACAGTAAAGGGTTCGCCTTCATTAATTTTGCGTCATTCGAAGCTTCCGATATGGCAATGGAGGCCATGAATGGGCAATTTCTTTGCAATAGGTATGTGCTTTAATGGCTCCGTCCGCACCGCACAACCCTCTTTCTTCCTTAACTGCTGTATTTTTGCAGGGCAATTTCTGTTTCTTATGCTTTCAAAAAGGATGCAAAAGGCGAACGACACGGTACAGCGGCAGAGCGAATGTTGGCTGCTCAGAATCCGCTGTTTCCAAAAGATCGTCCAAACCAGGTGCGTTACTGGTGTCTCGCTAAGAAAGTATGTTGTGATCCTCTCATTTTTCTCTTTCCAGATGTTCTCGGATGCTCCTGGTCGCCTCCCATTCCCTCCACCGATGCCTGGAATGCCTCCTATTATGCCAGGGCTTCCTGGAATGCCTCCGATGCCTCCTCCATTGCCGATGGGCATGGCTTTCCCTCCGCCGCCACCGACAGCTACACCAATGCCTCCTCCTCCACCACCACCTGTGCCACCAACGCCGACCATAACACCGCGCCCTCCTCCACCACCGATGTCGGGTAAGTCGAAAATTATTTTAGTAGGGGATTTGTGCTGGTTTGTGGTTTCACCTGCCCGCCTGTTTGGCATGTTGTCGCATTCAATAGGTGTAAAAAAAGATGATCCTGTGTAGCCAATTTTGTTGATGTGCTTATTTAGCTGGAGGAGCTCAGTGGAGTATGCCTGCCACCGCCACCTACTCAAACGCCCACAATGCCCACTCCACCTCCACCTCCTCCTTCTCGTGGAACATCCTTCGTGCCACCTCCGCCACCTGGTTCGATGCGCCTCCTGGTCCGCCAGGTCCACCAGGTCCTCCAGGACCCCCACCACCAGGACCTCCTGCGCCTCCAGGACTCGTCCACCTCAGAATGATGCCTCCACCTCAGGCTACATTATATTCCTAGTTTCATTTTTTTCTTCAAGTTTCTGAGATGGAAGTTTGTAACGCATTGAGCTCTCACTTACTGTTTTTGTCTCTTTTTATCGGGTCCAATTTTGTTCTACTAAAAATACTTTCTTTTCCTGGTGAAGTTTATCTCAGAAATTAGATTTCTTTTTTTTCTCATATATGTGCTTGCGAAGATCAAGCAGCTGGACTAATTTAGTGGATGTAGGCTTGTGTTTTATATTGTCCGCCCCCTTTCCATAAGTATCTGAATTTTATAGCTACAGCTATCCGTACCAAAATTGTTTTTTTCAGGTTCACACCGGCATGCCTCTCCGCGCCACGTTTTCACTCTGCGGCACCGCCGCCGAGCTCTAGGACAGTTCTCTCACCACCTCCTTCTGTCAAGGCGCCTGTGTCACTACTCCTGACAGCACACGATTTCGGCCTCACCGCCGTCTTATGAAGCAGTTTGCCTCTTGAGTATTTATTCGAATGGGAGTCCTCTCCTTCGTTTGTTCGTTACGTTTGGAAATATTCGGATTTTTCTCTTATGTTGAACGTGTGTATTTGACTTTTGCTGAGGGTTTTCATGTATCTGTGCAGTTTAGTGATCCATTGTTAGATCTGTACTGTTAGATAAAGTCTCTTGGTGGGAAAAAATTGCCTATTGGTGGATGGAATGTAATTGTATCGTGCAATCCCATCGTTGTCGGTGAATAGTAGGGTAGAGCCATGGCTCTTTAGGGTTCTGAACTGGCTTTGAGTAATGGTCTTGTTGCGCCGTGCACCTTACACCTCTTGGAGGTCTTCTACAACTTTTTTGAGCATTTTGTGTGGTATTCTGGAAGGTCTTCCATAGATCCATGTGCTAAGGAAGACGGTAGGAACAGTGCTGACTTGGGCATTTTGCTCTACCGTGATGGACGAAAGGTCCCATCTTCACTTATGATTGCCTGGCGAAAGGATAAAGGATAAAGCATTTGCCGTTGATCAATCCCTTTTTGGGATGCGGCACGCATTCTACTTCCATTTGTACATTCGTAGTGGCGTTTGAATGCGATGTGGCCTATACAATGACTTGCGGGGGCCAGCCGATGTACAAGTCAGTGTTTTTATCCTCCCAGACAAGTCTGGTACCAATTAACCGACCCCGGAGGGATGGAAGGCTTGGTTGGCCCGGGCGACTCACGACCCAGGATTTGATCCCCGGACCGCGCGTGGTAAGCGTGCCACTTGCCACTACACCACTTCCGCCCACCTTGGCGATGTGCCAAGTAAATGAGCAACACGGAATTGTATGGAGTTGAGCATTTTGGCCCGCGAACCTGCAGAGAGCTCGTCACGAACATCAACTCCGGGTCCTGCTCTGTTCTGGAAACTGGAAATAGCATTTGATATCTCGGCAAAGGGGAAGATTACTGTAGTTTATTTACTCTAGACTGAAATTTTATTTTGTAGCATTTTGCTTTCCTTGTAACTCTTTTACAGTAAGTTGTTAGCTAAAGTCATGTAACATTTTGTGACAGTGGGATTTCGAGAGCTAAATAAACAACCAGTCCATACGTTACTTCTAACAGAACTGGTTGGAACAATTGTAAACTTTGCTCTTTCAAGCCAGAAGCAATCAGTCGATCGTGAAGTTGTTCAGACGGTTTAGGTGCCACTAGGAAAGTGATGTGTCCGCTCGATTGACGGTCGTGCTCGATATGTTTATTTGGAGGCGCCAGCCCCTTCTCGTCTTGATAACGCACTCATCAGCCAGATGCGACACAGTTCATTGCATCTGATTCTCGTCTGCGCCTCAGTGGTCGCCATTTCAGGTGAGAACTCCTGAACTGTAAAGCATTGTTTCCATTACAGAACAGTAATTATTCCAGAAAATTCAATTTAATTAATTCTATTTTATTTAGTAGAAGTTATTCCCGCTTACTTTTCACGCGTATTGTCCATCACGGTACTTTTTATCAGTTTCCGTTGGAAGTGCCCGAATTTCCATTATAAAAAGCTTCGTTCTCTTTCGACCAGAAGGTTTTTCTCTACTTGGTTAGGACAAATTTCTTATACGTAGTTCGAGGTCACCATCAACGCCCACCGCACAAACTCCTCCCCTTGCAGAGTCTTCAAA